CCTACACGCTGGGAAAGGAAAGCCAGGATCAGACTCTGAAATCTGGAGACTCTATCTCTCCTGACCCAAAGGAGTTCTCCCAGGGAAGTGAGCCGTTTCTTTCCTCAATACCATCGAAAACAAAATCCCATAAGAAATAAGGAATATTTTGCAGCAGTGTGGTGTATCTGAAGCGGACAAAAAGGGGTGGTTGGATAATTATTTTAGAATTCGATCTAGATTTTCTTCCATTTGCAAAATGTAACACTGACGGGGTATATGTTTAGAGAGATGTCAACACTTCCCCCAGCAGTTTGGTCTCTGTGGGCTTTTGGCATCCCTCAGTGGGGATGCAACTGCAACTGATTTCCACCGGGGGATGGGGGTGGGCTAACTCCGAGGTGGGACAGGTCAGCAGGCAGGCCCCCCCAGCCCAGGAGAAGATCCTGCTCATCGGGGCACGTGTGGGAACTGCCTGACATGGGTCTCTGCTGTCCCTGACCTGCAAACTACTCCCAGAGGCACAGCACGCGAGGTTCTGAGATGCAAAAGTCCCAGCACCACCTGAGTTCATCCCAGGAGTCACGGCATCCGAAGGAGCCCGGGTCTGAGCCTCGGTGAGAATGCAAGACATGGACCGTGCCTAAGGCGAAGGGCGAAAGGCGAAGGGCAAAGGGTCAAGGTCAGGACCAGGCCGGCCAGAATGAAAACACACACGTAGTTCCCGCTCATTTTGAAAGACAGCTCTAAAGGAAACTGTGAAGCCACTGGATCTTCCCTCGGAGAGAGGGCTGGGAAGGCTTGGCTGGAGGAAACAGGCCTGCGTTTGCTCTCATGGATAATCTGGCTCAGATAGGCCATTTCAGGAAACAAGGCATCGTGTTCCCAGCTGGCGTGGACCAAGCAAGGCTGAAGATGGTTCGAGAGGCATCCTGACTGAGCACGGGGGCCCGGGTCCCTTGCGCAGCGGGGGTGGGGAGCCTGGCCTGTCCCTGCGCGGTGAGAGGCTCTTAAGGGGGAAATTTGTGATGGGCAGGTGTACAGACAAATGCCGTAGATATGCTTGCTGTGTTTTTTAAAACCCCTAAAACTGCACAGCGAAACACAGGAGATCAGGAGATTTAGTCAAACACACACACAGACAAGAATACCTGAAGTGCCTGGGTTAAAGGACTGTTGGAGAATTAAGTCCTAGGATCAAGGTAGGATTTATCACACTTACCCGCCCAGCAAGTGGCCAAGCGTTGGCATTTCAAGGGCTTTTAAGTGCTGGCCCTGCGAGGCATACATTCACGTCACCCACAAGGGAAGGAAATGGTTTCAGTAAGTGTTAAGACCAGCCACCCTAATTCCACTGGGGCCACTGTGCTCCAGTGTGAGCCGTGCTGCCGCCCAGTACGTGTGCCCAGTACGTGTGCGTGCGGGTGAGCACACAGCTAGAGGAAAAGCCCCAAGGCCAGATCTTTGGTCCTGGAATTTCTAGGAAAAGCCCAAGGGAAAAAGGCACATGAAGGTGACTGACTAAGGAAAAAAAAAAAAGGTAGCTAGAAGTATTATATCATTATTTTGACTTGTTTTTCAACGTACCATTTTCCCCTATGAAAAGAAAATTCAAAATATAAACCTTATATTTATTATTTTACATTCAAGTGGAACTTCTATCTGGGGTGGGGGGCTCAACACAATTTTAGGCCACGTGGAGCAACGTATTACTTTGGTGCCTTTTGACCTAACCCGATGGAAGAATTCAGCTATTTTTTTTTTTTTAAACAGCTTTATATTCCCAGCTGTAACACTTGCTTGTACACACACACAGGCACACACGCAAATCCAAAAACTCCTACATAGAAAAATAAAGGATAAACATTATCCATCTATGTGATACTGTGTACTGGAACTTCTATATACATAATTCTTTTTCCTCTTTAATGTTTTCAGTCACTGCACATTTTCTTCCCTCCTGGGTGATCTACGTACGATTCTAGGGGAGGAGATGCTATACTGAAGCAGAAAAGCTACATTGCTCTCGGGGGCGGGCGGGGGTGGGGGAGGAAGAGAAAAGGCACTTTCTCGCTCCCCTGCCAGTCTTTCGACACGTTCTACCACCTGGGATGTCCCTGCGGACGGACGGCCGTCGTGTAAGCGGCTGTCCCGTCCTCTCCTCTCTCTAAGGCGCCAAAGAGCAGATCCTGCCAACACCCTGCCCCGGGAATCTTGGTGTGAGGGCAGGGGAAGGGCGGCAGTCAGGGAAAGCCTTTGCACAATCAAAGATTCTGGCATCACTTGCCACGGCCCGTCCCTTTAGTACGGAGTTCGATTCTCCAGCTTGTGCTTGGTGAGAAAGTACTTGAAGAACTCGTAGACGGACCAGGAGATGGCGGTGGACGGCATCTGGTAGATGACGCGGGCCTGCACGCCCTTGAAGTAACCTGGCAGGCCGTTGAGCTGGTACACCGTCCGGAAGGCGTTGGCCATGCCCGACAGCCGGCCACTGACGTTGGCCAGGTTGAGGGCCATGTTCTCCTGAGTGTTGAGGAGGGTTTTACAAACGTCCAGAGGGGTGGTAGCGGCTGCAGCCAGGGCCCCGGCCAGCCCACCTGAGATGATGTGGGACTGCGGGTTGTAGCCCCGGTACGGGTTGATCTGCTCCTGCAGGAACTCATAGGTGATGAAGTGGATGGACTGGAAGGGAACGTTCATGGTCAGCTGCGTGGTGTAACTCCGGTAGAAGGCCCCCAAGCCCTCCGTCCCCCACACGGTCCGGATGCAGCTGAGGGCCGACCGGTGCGGCGAGTCGTACATCTGCAAGCGTTGCTTCACAACTGTGGGCGGGTCCCGGGTGGTTGGGTTTAGCCCCACCCCAGGTCGGAGTGAGATGAGAAGCCAAGCCATAAAGAGAAACAAGCAAGTTTAGACACATGGGTAACAGGGCACAGAGAGCTAGCACACACCCAGCCCCAGCCCGAGAAACCGAGGGCCAGCTCCAGGGTATCCCACTTGAACACATGCCTCCGGGATCCAGGGCCAGGAGGTGGCTGTTTCCTGACGTTTCTCCTGCCTGACTCTTGGTTGACGTGGCCCCCAAACCAGGGAGCCACTTCAGACGAGACTCCCCGAGCTGAGCCCCCAGGGCCTAGCTGCCTCGGGCTTCACGCACGCTGAGAAATCTAAGCCCTGCTCCTGGCTCCTCGGCCCTCTTCCGTCCCAGTGTGTCTATTGGACACGTGTGCCGTCTTTTATTCTCAGTGGTCTGTACCTCTGACAGTGTTTTTAGCTTCTGGGTCTCAGTGCTCTTGCAAGAGACACTAGAATGATGTCAGCCCAAGCTCAATGGCAAACTCCAGTGAGGACCCTGGCTTTAATAATACAAAAGTAACTGGTGGGTCAAAGGACATGGGGCAAATACTTAGAATTTTAATTGTCCCCACGCATTGCAAGATAAACACATACAGCGTGCTCTACTTTTAAAGAAATAAAGTCCTTAAAACGATATAATGTCAAGGAGAGGAGGGTGGAGTTGAACCTCATTTTTCTCTCCTTTAAAAAAAGTAGAAATAAAATTCTTGCCTGGTTGACACGGGCTAACTTACTGCTCATTGATATGAATTGCCTTGAACACACAGAAAAAGCAGCCCACCTCCCAATCTGACCCATACATCCCTGAAAGTCAGAGCAAGTTTCCTATCTGCTAAGGCATGGGTGGCAGCTGAGAGCAAATAAATTGTAACCTTAAAAGACAAAACCAGACAAACTTATAACGCAAGATTTAAAATGCTGCACTTTTTAACCTCTGATTCTCCCTTCTGGCAAGGGACCGTTTTCAGAGAGAGGAGGAAAAGGGGGAGAGTCCTACATCTCACACAGAGAATAACCCAGATGAAGGTATGCCCAGCACCGGGTCCAAAACCTCACCATTCAGACCCAAGTTGGCTGAGGACGCGAGGATATTGAAAAAGCTGACAGAACTCGTCTGCACAGCTAAGAATTGCTTTATAATGCTCCCAAAATTCCAAAGGAAAAAAAAACAAGAAGGTAATGTGGGAGAAGACAGCTACAACAAAATGGCCAAATGTTAATTTATGAATCAGAGCAATACACACATGGGGGTTCACCATACTCTTCATAAGCCCATAAGCCCTAATGAATGGCCTCTGACAGGTTCCTTCTAAATTCATCTGTGGTTGATAATGGTTAACAAGGGCCCAGTGGGGTGTGTGCGCGTGCACATGTGTACACATGTGGGCACACACAGGTTTCAGAGTAGTGCAAAAGCACACAAAAGAATTGCCAGGAGATCCTGTTAAGCAGATATCCTGTCTCTACCCCCCCAGAGATTCTGGTTTGGTAGGTCTGGGGTGGAACCTGAGAACCACCATGTTTAACATGCTCCCAGGAGACACTGATGCTACTGGTCTGTGGATCACACCCTGAGTAGCTCTGTTTAAGCGAACAGGAATCCCAGAGCTCAGATGCTCACGTGCCTTCTCGAGGCCTCTGAGAACATGGTACGAATTCTCCTGCTTATTCCGACTGGGGAGCAGGAGTTCCCTTGCCCGACCTTCTGTCCCCACCGCCCAACTTTGCTCCGGCCCCTCTGCGCATCCCCTACTGCCAACTCCCTGGGACCGTGAGACATTACCTTCTGCTGGGTTCATTACCGCATCGTGGAGCAGGGTGGCCATACTCCCAGCTATCCCTGCAAAACAAACTCCAGAAAATTACCCTCTGGCACCAGGGGTTCTGAGGAAGTTCCTGGAACCCTGGACCTTGCTTTCTAAGAAGCAAAACTCACTACCAACTCCACCCAGGTGAGCACTGACTCTCTTAAGACCCTAAAGTGATCATGGAAAATACTGGATAAAAATGAGGAAGGTAACACAGGCACCGTTACTCACATTTCAATACTGCAGAACCTCATTTTCCCTAGGAAAAGGCTAGACCTGCCAACATTGGATGCTACCAGAAAACACACTTGGTGGCTTTTTCCACCACAGAGATTTTAATTCTCTCTCATCTCTGGCCTTTGGCTACAGATTAACCCACTCTGCCCTTACGCTGGGGGCAATGGAAGGGGATGATATCATGTATACAGCAGAGAGGGGGGAAAAAGAAGAGAAATCTTTAAGAAAATTCCTTAATAAAATCCAGGCATTTTTTAAAGCAAATGGCCAAGGGAAAAGGGCGTCAGGGAGATCTGCATACGGCAGATTTTCAGGGTGAGTCTGCAAAGTGATGACGTGTCTCAGAAATGGCCGAGTCCATCTGAGGGTCTCCTCTGGCCTGGCTTCAAGAGCCAGGAACTTCAAAAGCCAGATTCCAGCCTGGAATTTTGCTTTTGGCTCTGGGTTTCCTCCCTCTGTGGATGACACTGCCCAGTAATTAAGATAACTGCTAAAAGGTGGGAAGAATGAGGGACACAGGCTAACGCTTCAGAAATGCATATATATCCCGCCCCCTCCCTCCCTCCCACACACTTAGGATCATCCCCAGAAAGGTCAAAACGCGACCAAAGCACACACCACAGTGAAGCAATAACAGTGCTGGGAAGAACTTGACATAAACTGGGCTCCGTTCAAACCGCCTTCAAGGGGCTCAGAGACCAAGGAGCTAAAAAGGCAGTTTCAGCAAAAGGAGGGCCTTGAGGCCACGAACTTGAGGACAGCATCAAGAGTGCAGATCTTGGTGACGGTCCGGACAAATGCAACTAGGGGCCGATTTTTAAAAAGCAAAACCAATGTCTGCAAACCAGCCAGGTTGGAGTCATTATTACCAGGGTTTGCTGATGGGAGGGATGCTTTCTGGTTCTGAGTAGACCAAAAAAGAGAAGGGGTAGAAAGTTGTTGCCAGTCACATCTACCTCTCTGTTGCTGAAAAATAAATTTGTTAAAGTAAGTTCTCCTTATGCCACTAGCCAGAGTCTCACTCCAAACCCAAACAGAAACCAACAAAAGCCAAACCCACAGGAGGCAAAAATAACCACTTGGCAGGGCCCAGTAAGAGAAGCCTATATAACAGTTGCCTGCGGCCAGCTCAGGCCATCCCCCACCCTCCTGGTTCCCTCGAAACAACAAAAGAAAACGATTTCAGCCCTTGCTTGCAGAGAGATGCAACAGACGGAAGAAAATGGGGGCGAAATCCCCAAATCCCCAGAAGCTTAGGTGGGAAAGGTCCTCTGCGCAGGAGCAAATCCTTTGTCAGCCATAAAACTTCTTGACCTTTTAAAGCTTAGTTAGATCTTGACGTTGTAGAGACCTGTTGGGCCAGTTTTTAAATAGTCTCAAAGAAGCTGTCCAGATAACTTTTGCTTTTTTTTTTTTTTTTGGAATCCAGCATTCAAAAGTTTTGTTTCTATTCAGGGTTGTCTGTTTTTTTTGTTTTGTTTTTTTCTCCCCTAGATCTGATCATTAATTGCTTTTGAATTTTTTTTTTTTTTTTTTAAAAAGCAAAAAGGCAAAACCCACTCAACAATGAAACACCTCTGTCACTGATTTCTCCCTGGGCTTCAGAGAGTGAAGGAGGGGAATGAAAAAAAGCGCGTGCGTGTGTGTGTGTGTGCGCGCGCGTGTGTTTGGGTGTGTGTGCACACACAAATCTAGAGTCCTTGATTCATGAGCAAGCGTGGCGGAGATGAGGCATCAGGCTGCTGGGTCACAGGGAGGAAAACCCTGGGGAAGGGTCTGTTGAAGGAGAGACCTTTCTAACTCCAGACAAATGCTTGCAAATACCGTTGGCTAGGTGGCTGTTCCCTTGGTGGTGGAAAACGGCATTTAAAGTTCTTTTCATGTTTTCGTAGCAGGCAAAATACAGGGCATGGGCCGGCCCCGCGCCCATCATCATCACGTTGAGGCCTCGCAAGGGTCTCCAGAAGCCTTCAGTCCGTATGATTTTCTTGAGGGCTCCGTAGACACTTGTGTAATGGGCTTTGGGATCTGGATTCAAACTCTGCATTCGTGTCTGGGGGAGGGCGAGAAAAGAAAAGAGTGGGGTTAATGAGGCTGGTCAGGAGCGAAAGGAAGACCCAGGGAGAGAGTGAGAAAACAACAGGCCATATTTATAGATTCACAGGATTTCTGGGTGAAGAGAACTTTTATTCTCCTTTCTGGAGTAATCCCCCATCCCTACACACACACGTTCACATGGATTTCATTATGCCCAGCAAAGGCGGTCAAAAATGAGGGGCAGGATTTGGAGTAGGAACACCTGCCTGGCCACTGGCAAGCTGTGTGACTTCTGATGAATCCCGTAACCTCTCTGGGCCTCGGGATTTGGCACCAGAGACCAGTTTCCACGGATCGGGGGTAGAGGGGTGGGGGGGATTGTTTCAGGATGATTCAAGCGCATTACATTTATTGTGCACTCTATTTCTACTATTATTACATTGCAATATATAATGAAATAATTCTACAACTCACCATAATGCAGAATCAGTGGGAGCCCTGAGCTTGTTTTCCTGTAACTAGATGGTCCCATCTGGGGGTGATGAGACCGCCTCAGCCCCACCTCAGATCATCAGGCATTAGATCCTCATAAGAAGCACGCAACCTAGGTCCCTCGCATGTGCGGTTCACACATAGGGGTTGTGCTCCTATGAGAATCTAATGCCACTGCTTATCTGACAGGAGGTGGAGCTCAGGTGGTAATGCAAGCGATGGGAAGTGGCTGTAAATACATATGGAGCTTCACTCACTCACCTGCGGCTCACCTCCTGCTGTGTGGCCCAGGGGGTGGAGACCCCTGAAATAGAAGTATCATTATTATCCAGGGGTTCACACTCCGGTTCTAAAGTCTTCTGTGCCCTCACTTATCTGAGACCTCTGTGTTGTGAAAGCTCCATTCAGCCCCAACCATAAATCTCCCTGGAATCCTCCATCACCCACCCCCTCATCTCCTCTAAATACTTTTTACATTTAGTCTATACAAGTTAGCACTGAAATATATGGTCTTGTTCTTAATTTCTTCCTATGTATAGTCTTGCCCCCTGGAGGCAAAGACCAACTTTCCCCATCTCTGTCATCCCCATCACACTCCCCAGGCACTTGAGTAGGTGTGATGGTGAATCTTACATGCCAACAACCCGGCGAGGCCACGGTACCCATGCTGGCTCCAATTATGGCCAAACACTAGTCTACATGTTGCTGTGAATGCATTTTATAGATGAGAGTACCATTTAAAGTCAGTAGACTTTGAGTAAAGCAGATTACCCTCCATTGTGTGGGTGGGCCTCGTCTAATCAGGTGAAGGCCTGAAGAGAAAAGAAACTAATGTCCCCCAAAGAAGAAAGAATTCTGCCTCCAGTCTTTGGTTGTAACATCAACTCTTCCCTGGGTCTCCAGCTGGCCTGGCCTGCAGATTTTGGACTTGCCAGTCTCCACAATCATGTGAACCAATTCTCTCTCTCTCTCTCTCTCTCTCTCCTTATGTAAGTTGTTTCAAACCAAGAAAACCTCAGGTCACGAGTCTACAGTGAGACTACTGAAG